TATGTATATCGTATTATTTAAAAGACAAAGAAACAAATCCCAGGAGTGTGTAAGCATGTTGAAGTCTCTGAATCTAGACTGTTCCCACTGAAATAAAAAGCAGAGCATCTGTGTACTGGGAGGAGTGGAATCAGGTGTCCTTTACCTGACATTGGCAAGGCATGGCCATCCAACAGTGCACTTTTTTGGGCTGGATGTAAAGTTTAAGTCAGGGTGGATGCTCTTGGAAATAGAGATGATTAAAGAGAAATGTGTGTCTTCCTCCCTGAGAACCTCCTCGCCCAGTCCTAAATACCTTCTTATTTCACATTACTTCATACACTAGGATCTATTTTTAATGCTTCTCAAATTAGTAATATAATTCGTTTTTTGTCTTATGTGTACAAATACAGAGATATGTAAACCCAAAGAAGGACAGGAGGTATTTTCTACCTGGCTGATCATCGTTTTGGTTTTGTTTTTTGGTTTTTTTTCATTTTAGGTCTTTTGGAAGTGCAATTATATTAAGCATGCTGGGCTGGCCACTAGGATGAGTAAAACAGCTCGGGAGAAGAAAAGGTTTGTGAATATTTCAGGCTAATTACTAACAGCTAGTCCCAGGCCTAGAAAAAAAATACTAAAAAAAAGGGAAAAAAAAAAAAGAAAGAAAGAGAGAAAAAGAGTTTCGCCTGTTACTGATTTCCTTTTTGGTTTCAGGGGCCATTGTTTGTTTTAATGACAGGAAAAGAGAGCTGTCAGAAGACATTTGCATAGTGCAAATAGGGTCACAAATCAGAGGGGCTGTGGAGATCATGTAGCAGTGAGCAGGCACCCATTGGTGTGCAGCTATGAAGATGAGGTTGTTTTCTGCAGTAATGGGGAAAAGCTGATAGTTTTTCCACATGCAGTTGAGGGCTCAAGAAATTTTGGGGAAGAAAAGCTTCCCACTTGCAGCAGGGTCTGCTGGGCTCTCATGAAGGCGTTGCTGTTTGTTTATTTTCCTAGCTGTGTGCTTAAGATGCATTCTTTGAAAATTTAGCTGATGGGTCTGTTTGTATAGACTGCGCTGCTGGTGAGTTAGACCAGGGGTTTGTGTTCATTTGGGAAAAGAGAAAGAATCCTGGCCATCAGAAATGTTTACTATATCAGGAAATGAATTCACTACTTGAGGGTTCCAGTGGATATAAAACAAAAATTAAAACAAGAGCCTTGTATAAACCCACTTTGTATTGTCTCCTCCATAAACAACCCCATACGTGACAAAGCTCGGAGTGAGTGAGAGAGGTAGTTTTATTGGGGCATGTGGAAGTGAGTTAATTGCTGTCGTTTTTTGATTGTTTTTTTGCACATGTTGGTGAGTTTGAAGTGAAATCTGGTTGTCTTTTCTTTCTCCCGTTCCAGGGAGAGCTGAGCCTTTGCTGAGAAATAACACTAGGCAAAATGACTTCAAGCTGTCACCATTACACAACCTAAACTTTATTTCTTCATTAATGCATTACAGAGCAAAAAAACAATGAGAGCATTCCTCTGGAATGTGTGTTTACTGAGCACAAAATGATATGTTTACTGAAATAGCAGTTGCTGCCGGGTTACCCAGTGGGAGAGAGCTCTCTCTTACCACACCGGTCCGAGATCCCGGTGTCGCTCTGCTCCATGGCCTTCGACGCCAGCAACTTCCCCCTTGCCAAGAGGGTCCTGTGGGAAAAAGCAGTGGTGGTGCTGGCCAGAGCTGAGGCTCAGCATCATCCAGTGGCACCTTTGGTGGCTCCCGCAAGCCCTGGAGGAAAGGGGGAAAAGGAGAGGCATCCCTTTCTGCAAAAAGCATGAGTCAGAGGAGAAGGGCCTAAACCCAGGATTTCAGGGAGGGTGTCAGCGCTCCTCTTGCTTGCAATGGGAGTGGGAGAAATGCTTGGGGCAGAGGACAGGTGCTGGTGCCATGTGAATGAAGACTCCCTCCCCGAAGAGTGAGCAGAGGTGGAGGCTGGGGAGTGGCAGAGCAGCTCCTGGGTACAGCAGCAAGGAAAACACCGTTCCTGATGGCTGGGATGAGACGGGCATGTTGCAAACACCCCAGACAAAATCAGCCAGGGAAGGGAAGAAAGGCAAATAGAGAAAAGACAAGGGCAAATAAAATCAGTGAGGGAGGTTTCTCCTTTATCCCAAAAGTCAAAGCAAACCTTGTGTGTATTAGTACATGTGTACATATGCAGGTGCGCATGCACCCACCTTCCTATGCACCCAGTCTCCTAAATTCAAAAGTAGTTTGTTCTTTTCTCTTAATTCCACTAGGATTCAGACAGCAAAAAACTCAATAACTAAGGAGCTTTTGCTCAGTACAACTGCCAAGCAGACATCAGGTTGGCTGCAGCACTGTTTGGTGTGGATATGGCTCTCCAGTGATTCATAACCAGCCCAATTGGAACAGGGTTCATCAGTGCCCCAACCAACAAAAACACAACTGCTATGTTTTCAGTTCTTTCCTTCTCCTTTAAAGAGAAATACACACACACATGCAGAGGGAAAACAGAACTAGAGAACGCTTTCTAACCTGGTACAGCATATTACACTAATTAAGGGATGCTGTTACTCATGCATCATTCATGACCCTGCCAAAACTGGGAACAAACAGTCCCTAGAATCTTGATTGGACTGTCTGAGCGGAACTTTGCAGCATTTTCCAATCTGAAAAAGCCCAAATAGGAAACATCCTTCCCCACTACTAACTCCTGTAATTGGCAACATATCAGGCAGTGCCCTTAACCCTGATCTGCTTCTTCACTGATAGTTTTGTCCAGCAGTGACTGCAGAGCAGGTGAAGGGGTCTGCAAATGTCATGTGCAAATGTCATGTCATCTTTCCACAGGGTTGCAGCAGAGACCTCAGAGGCTCTGTCTTGGGCCAGCTTCCCCCATGGTGGCAAAGTCCCTGGAAACGAGGAGGAAGTTGAACCCAGACATAGCCTCTGCCGTGAAGGTGAAAGCTCTCCTTGCTGAGATTGCTTTTGTTGTGGCTACTGTGGTGTTCATGCTTTTTGGCATCTTGTTTGACACCACAAGGATGGGGGGCACTGCTGCCAGGAGAGCCAGGGGCATCGTACCTCCCCCCAACACTTCTTGGTGAGGTGTGAAGGAGAGCTGGGGAAGTCACAGAATCAAAGAACCATTAAGGTTGGAAAAGACCTTTAAGATCATCAAATCCAGCTATTGGGTCCTTCAAGGTGTCTCCAGCCATGGCTGAGAGAGGCCAGGAATGCGTGCTATTTGTATGCTGCCATGAATGCATCTCGGCACCACACTGAGAAGGATTGACAGGAGCTGCAGAAAGGCTGAGTAAAATTTTCCAAAATACCTAAGTGACGTGGAAGCCTCCTGTCCTATTTTTAAAACGTGACTGAAGCATGTGAGACCCAGAGCCTTAAAGGTACCTCTGCAGATAGATTTTTAGAGCTGGGCACCTGAAAGAACACCTCCATCCCGCTGCACTGATAATCCATCTTCCCCAGTCTGGGGTTCTATCCCCTCTCAGTCACATCATTTCAGACCCTCACACCCAACAGGAGGTTGCCTCTTCTGCAAGTCCTGCAGGGACCTGCATAGACCTCTCTGTCCATCCCACAACAGAGATCTCTTTCCTTCCACTAGTCCCACCAGAGATGCATTATACTTGGGTTTTGCTTTCAGCCATGCTGCCCCTGGGTTTTTTTCCTCCTGCTTTCCCTTGCTTTTGCAGAAACCCCTGCCGGTGGTAATTCCTCTCCAGCCCAGCCAACTTCCAGCTGGGACCCAGCCCTCCCAGCTGCTGTGTGTGGGCACATTGCTCACAGCAGAACTTGTAGCTCCACAATAGGAAGCAAGGTGACTTTAGCTGTGTCTTTTCCTGCTGGCCAGTGGGGTCCGTGAGCTCAAGCCCGGATGGCTTGGCCCAAAATATCTCAGGCTGCTTCCTCAGCAATGAAATGTCTCCTATTTATTGCTGCTGATTATTGCTAATGACAAAGGCAGGTGGCTGGGGACAGCAAAAGGAGAATGGCAAGGCTCAGAGAGATGGTAGAAGATAAAAAGGTCAAAAAGCAGTTATTTTAGCTGCCGGCTTTGAGCAATTTTGGAAACAGAGGACTGTTTGCATTAGATGTAGAAAGCACAGGTTTTAGCTGCAACAGCACACTCTTCCCACTCCGTGTTTTTGCAAAACTTTCTGCCTATTTGTAGCACCTCCTGCTGTATTGCTCACACCAGCCCTCCTCGCTCAAGAAATATACTGGAGCCATACGTCGGAGCCGTATGTCTCATCGGCATAGTGAGACTTGAGCAAAATCTATTGCCAGAGGCAGAAATACTCTCATGGATGCAGCCAGTAGAATAGGTGGAAATTTTCCAAATTTCTTTTTGCAGAGGGAACATTTATCCCCTTGAAAAATGTGGAGGGACTGAAGGGAAGGCTTAATAACGACTTTTATGACATATCCTTTCACATTTCTGACTTCTTTTAATTGTCTTTTCTATCTTACAATGCCCTTGTGGAGCCCCTACTCTCTCACACTGATGTCAAGGCAGGAACAGTGAGGAAAGAAATATTGTCACCCAAGCTGCGGTGCTGAAAGCTCCTTCTTGTCAGCACTGATACAAATAACCATATAGATACCAGGACGTGCTCCTAAAGTTTCTGTCATTGCGCAAGGGCCCTTCTGGCCTCTCAGCTGCCGCAGCAGTGTGGTGCTCCTGACATTCCCATATTTCTCCTGAGAAAATCCCTTCTCTATGGACAAGGAGATGGCACGGAGGGTGCTGCTTCACAACGGTGCTGCTGTCAGTGAGGATGGAGTGAGAGGTAGGTAGGAGAAGATGAGGGCTTGCAGAACACCAGCAAAAGGCGGGCTGGGTGCTGGGACACTGCAGCTGGCACTCAGCAGGAGTGCCCTCCAAACACCATCTCTACAGTGTGACTTCACCTAACTTTTAAATGCCAGAATGTCTGCTTTGCTTCACTTTGAAGGTGCATGATGCCGGTAGAGCCATCAGTGATTTGAGTTTGTTTCTCTGCAGCCAGTCACCTGCTGAACCCTGGGGACCACCACACACCCTTCAGGTACCATCAGTTACATCCCTTCTGGTGTGATGCAGCACTGGCCCTCACACCAGGGAGCTGTGGCCATGTGGAAGCCATGACTGCTCAGATGAAGGCCTCTGATAATTATCCACCCTCCCACTTCCCTGCTGCATGGACCAGATAGCTGCAAGCCAAGGCCATTACTCAGCGTATCATCAGGTGTGTAGCTGTGTCCTGAGCACTCCAAATTGGCAGGGAGATGACTATTGGAGGGAAGCTGAAGCCAAAAGGGTTGTGGAATCTGGCCAAATCCGCTGTCGATTTTAAAGCTGATTCCGCTGTTCCTCCCATGGAGCAAAACAACCATATTTTTCATTTTGCAAAGGACAAAGCTCAATAGGACTTTATTTTTTTTTTTTCTTTTTTTGTTTTTTTTTTTTGGTTATGCTTGCTAGGAATTTATTGAACGCTGTAACATTATTCTTCTTGCTGTCAGGAAACAGGCTGACTGCCCTCCCAAAGTTTGGCTACTGAGCAGCTAGGCTGCATGGGGCTTTTTGGCCACTGGTGAGGCTACTGTCTTAGATGGTGGCCTATGAATGTCCTTCAAACACTTGGCATTGAAGAGCTTTGCCGTCAGCCTCTGGAAGTTCCCCTATCAGTGGGAGATGAGTGGGTAGCACAGCTTCTGGGCCCAAAGAGAGCAAAAGACTACTACAATAAAATCTGTAACACAACATCTGCTTTGGTTTATACTCTGTGTGCTGCATTTCAGCCTCAGAGAGTGCCCTTGAGCTGCTTGGGATGTGTGCTGCATGGGCCAGGGCAGTTGAGGAAGGTGCCCCATTCCCTGGCATTGTCATCTTGCCCCACAGTTTGAGAAATGCATAGTCCTGTGATGGGAAGTTTGTAAAGCTGAACCCTCCTTTGCTAGTTCTTCAGTGGAAAGCATGGGAGGAAAAAGCTGGCAGTATTTTGGGATGGAGATGAGCAGCAGAAACAGGTTGTGAGAAGGGTCAGTAGCATGAACAGAGCAGCAAATTGCATTTGTCTTCTATTCCCTCCTCCTGGTTATCCATCATGATTTTGCACCTGACCCATCCACCTCCAAATACAACAAAAATTCGATGCTTGGCCATCCTCTTTCTGTGCTGGAGCGGGTTTCATTCCGGGGAAAATTCCCCTGCCCTGGAGAAACCAGAGCGAGAAGCAGTTTCCCTGGGTTTGTTCCATTATTCATTGTTATCCTCCCCTCGGGCCGCCCTGAACAATTTCCTTCCCCTCCCCTCCATGTACACCCTTCAAATGGTTTTAGAATATGGCACTGAAAAATAAAGTTAAAAAAAAACCCCACCAAATACCCAAGGCATTGAAAACATTCAAATATATTGCTCAGCTCTTTCCTCCCTGCACCATTGTCTTAGGAGGGCTGGCACGGGACCAGACTTCTTTCTTATTACCAATCTTAACTATTCCACTGGGCATCGAAAAATAAAGCCCTATAAAAGTCACTAATTAAATAAGTTCTCCCATCTGACCTAATACAAGCAACATGGGAGGTTGCATGATTTTTATATTTTTATTTTTTTTTAGTCCTTTTTTTTTATTCCCCCCTCCTTTTTGCAGAGCCCACTTTTCTGACGGGGATTCGTTGTTTTTCTGGTAGGGGAGAGGGATTTCAAGGTCATGGAATGAATAAATGATGATAATGCGTGGCCACGGGGAGAAGCGAGCGCAGCGAGTGCGTGAGGAGCGCGGCAGCAGCCGAGGTGCTGCCTGCCTGCCCGCTCCCTTCCAGCCAGGACAAGGCCGCAGCTCTCCCTCCCTGTGGCTGCTGACTGTGTGCTTGTCCTCCCTGCTTTTTTTTTTGTTTTTTTTTGCCATGGTCGCCACTTGCTTTTTTAATTATCACTTATTTTCTTCTCTCATGACTCAAGAGTGGATGATTATCTCATCTGAATGTCCCCCACCCCAAGGCTCTGTGGGGCTCCTTGGCTCCAGGCCTTGCGGGATGTGGGCTCGCCCCAAAGCAAGCGAAACAGAAAATTAACGGCTGTATTTCCTGTTATTCTTGGGAATTTTAGATGGATTCATGGAGATAGATACTCGCCACGCTCTGCCGTGGCGGTTCCAGTGCTGTTTGCCCATGCTTGCTCTTTCTCTCTGCTCCTTGGACAGGAGCCCACAAGTAGGATGGGTTGGGCAGCTCCAGCTCGCTGCCCACCGCTGGGGCTGCATGGGGCACTGCTCTTTCCATTTCTCCTCGCTCACTTGTTAATGAGCTCTCCTCTTGCGAGAGCATCCTGAGGTTTTCTAATAACAGGAAGCGGCGCGCTGCCTGCCCCGGGGTCCAGCCGCATGCGGGAAGAGGTGTGGCTGCCTCCAATTTCGAGGAACACCAGTGTCGTGACCTGCCCCGATCGCTGTGTGCTCTCCCCTTGGCATCCGCCTTGCTGCCTCTGGCACTGTTGTTTCACTTCCTACCTGAGTAACCCGAGGGATTACAGCCAGGGTTGGCCCTGCAGAAACAGACATCTTGGGGGACGGGGTTGCTGCTGGTGAAAAGTGGCAGGTAAGGGGTGGGGATGCTGAGTCCAGGGAGATGTACAAATGTACATTTTTGCTGTGTTTCAGGTGGCCAAAGATCCTGAAGTCTTCTGTGAAACAGGGGTTGAAGGGTTTGAAGATCACCAGAGGATTTCCCGAATCTGTTTCCCTATTTTAATGCAGGATCTCTGGCAGTGTAGGGTCTTGTCCTTTAAAGAAGTGATGGATGGGATCTGCCCAGACAGACAAGCTCTTCATCTGGAGAGCCAGGCAGCGCAGATCCCTGGGGACACCTCCCAACAGTCCTGATTTAGCTTATTCTAGGCCATGCAGAGAATTATTAGCTGCAGGAGTCTGCCTCTCTCCCCTCCTAGCTGAGACTACTTTTCCTATTTTAGCTTGGTGCTTTGCTTTCCCCCCACATGAGCTATTTATTCTATAGCTTTTACACTATAAAATCTAGGAAAAATAAACAGCAGCTGAGAGGGGGTTGTGGCTATCAGGGAGGGTAGGGATGTGTGCACGGAGCTCGGAGAGGGTGGTAGGAGCCTTCTTTAATGCTGTTTCATGGAGTACGATCCCTGGGCCAGGGCATGCAACATCAACCCAGCTTTATTCCTATGGCTGTCGTGGTTAAGCACAGCTGTTCGTTTTGAGCCCAAGGTAGCAAAACAAACCAGAGCCACCTCATGGAGCCAGCAGGCTCATTGCTTAACCCATGGAAAGACTCCACATGATTTTTCTGTGACCAGTCACTTCAAATCTTCCGTGAAATGCCCCCTGGCCATTAATGTTATGCGAATATTCCTGTGTACTCATTTATTAATGAGAGGCCTGTGGGAATTACAAACCCTAAACAAATGCAGGAGACTGTTCATAGAACAATTATATTTGCTTTTCACCAGCTTGCAACCTGGAAAAAACATCACTGAATTTGGATCACATCAATCTAGTCATGAGACAAATATGTTGTGTGACTTGGCTTAAGTGATGGGGCTCTCCACTGGCTTTCCGAGGGTTGGTCGCTTTTGGGACTCAGCAAGTTCCAGTTGAGTTGACACTTCACACTAGTTGCATTATTTTTCTGTGCACCATCTGTAGTCTCAAAAGGCTTCCTGCCTCATGGGTCTTGTGCTGAATATGTGGTGGAAAAAGTATCAAAGATACCTGCTCAAGCCTCTCAGGAGATGGTTTCCAGTAACAAAAAACAAATGAGCTGCAGACCTAATGCCGGGATAAGGACAGCATGGAGCAAGCTCATTGCCAAGCTCCGTAAGACATCCTGGTGAAGGCATTAGCAGGATGTACTTGGTGTCTTGCCCTGCAACTCAGGGGAGGAACCCTTCAAATTTCTGCGTTCTTCTCCATGAAGAATATGAGACACATGCGCTGTTGCCTGTTTATTGCCTTAGGAAAGTTAATTAGGAGAGAGGCCAAGTCTTGAGCACACAGAGGAGCGGTCCTCCATCAATAGCAATGATCACTGAATATTTAATATGATGTCCAGCATCATAGCATATCTCAAATGGGAAGATCTGTGGACTTGGCCCTCCCTCTGGTCTCTGGACAGCTGAGGACTCCTGTTGCCAGCTTACATTGTGAAGTTCCCTAGCAATACCTGTGTTCCTGCGGGTTCCCCAGCAGGGATGACTTTTATTCTTCCGTGGGTTTAAGACTGACAACAAGAATAGGTGTTTGGAGGCTGCTCTGGGAAAAGGAGGAGAAAAGACACATTGCTTCTCTAAACAAGAAAGGCCATGGATAAAAGATAGCAATTTACTTTTCTGTAGGTGCTTTCTTGGAGAGGCACTGCCTGTCTCCTGCAAGTTCATGTGTTTCATGGTCAGTGCAGTCCAAGCTGAAAGCTTGTTTGGTGGCAAAACCTGGAACTGGGTGGGGTGATAGGAATTAGTGTTCTGCAGGGCAGGAGGGGGCCACAGGGCTTTTGGTGAGAAAATAAACCATTTGTTATTGGGCAGTAAAGAAAATGATAATTGCCACAAAGCTTTTTCTGCAGGAAAACATTGTCAGCCTATGATGGACAGCCAGGTTTAAGGCGAAAATAAGTGGATCATAAATATATTCTAGCTTACCCTCTAACAACAAACCTCCAGAAACAGCTTTTGGGTGGTTGGTGCTTAGGTTCTTTAAAAGACAAAATAACTGAGATGTCTCCTTACAGAAGGCATTCAAACGAATCCAACTATATTACAGTTGTGTTTAAAGACCTCCATAGAGAGTACAGAAAATGGGGTATTGGGTGGTATTCATGCATACCTTAAATACATCAGTTCAGCTGTGTATTTTCATCCAAGTAAAATATGTAATCAAAGGCTTGGTAGCTTGGTAAAAAGGATTTGTCTTTTTTTTGTTTGGTTTTTTTTTTTTTTAATGCTTCAGTGGAAATACCCCCATGTTTCTATCTTGTTAGGACACAGTCAAGAAGGGAATAACCCATTACACACTTCATTATTTTCCAGCTAGCAGAGGAAATCTCCTAGGAATATTTGAAATATAAAGGGTAGTATAATATCTAAAATCAAATTACATGAATTTTGATAAAGTGTCAGCATTTGCAACTGGTAATGCTAATGTTGATTTTTGGGGAGCCATTACTCAATCTGCATCTCAGTAGCAAATGAGAGGAGGATTGCCTTATAAGCAGCTGCTCTGTTAATTTTCTAAATAATTCTAAAACTGTATTTACTAAATAATACTACAAAATATGGTATAGATTTATCCCTCTTTTTTACCTTTCCTTATTTGCAAATCAAAGCTTCAGAATTATCCCTGATATTTTGCAACATCAGCCTCTGAGACAGAGAAATGCTGAAGCAAATCCCTACATGCAAGCAGCATTTGATGGGCTAAAATATTCTTTATGATAGTCTTAAACCAAGAATTATCCAGTCCAGTACATGCTGAAATTTACAGTGGTGCATTAAAACTGCGACAAATAACCTCTGAAAAATAATTTGATCGTAACTCTTATTTCAGTACATATTACGGTGAAGCAATGTAAGTGGAAAAGGATGCTGTTGGGTAGCAGTGGACACCAGCTTTCAGTGCCAGACTCCAGGATTTCAACTTCAACAAGCAAAATGATCTTAACCTACTTTATGCTTATTTTTTTCTGGGAAAAAAAGAAAAGAAAAGAAAAAAAAAAAAAAAAAAAAAAAAAAAAAAAAAAAAAAAAGAGAGAAAAAGTCCTTTTCCTTTTTTTTTTCAGAAACTCTCTATTTTATAATATGTTTAAAATTTGAGAAGAGACTGGATATGCTTTGTCTCCATGAGAACTACTTCATTCTGAGAACTACTTCATTCTGATAGATTTACTGGAGAATGTGTCTGTGCTCCATGAATCTTCCCCTAAGAAATAGCTGAATGTATTGTTTCCAAACACTAATTCTCTCAACTTCTTAAAATCCCTTGGCACTTATTATATTCATTCCTCACAAGCAGTAGTGAAAACAAATGTTCATTGTGTAAACAGATTTTGACAGAATGTGGGAAACTTAAATAAATATGGTTATAATATGGTATAAAAATCAACTTCAAATTTGAAGCAAACTGAAAGTGCATGGGTAAAGAGCCTTGTCACTCATCTTCAAAAAATATCCAAACCCAAATATATCCCGAGATATATTAAAACAGGTAAATATCATCTCTGAGTCTCCCAGCTGCGTCATATGTTTGAAGGCATATTTACACGAGAACTGTGTAAATACACAATGTTAAGTAAAACAGTTGCTCCAAAATGTCCTTTCAGAGAGAACATGCTCTCGTATGTGTTATTCCGCTCCAAGAAAAATGAGCATCCTACCAGTGGTGTTTTCCTCAGCTGGCCAGAGGTGTGGGGCGTAGCTCTTCCTTTGGGGTGGGCAATGATGTCATAGGACTGATGGAAACTAAGGATATTTTGAAACATTTACATGGCTTATTTAAGTTAGGGGGGAAAAAAAAGAAAAAGGTACTTACTCCAGAAAGCACAACTGGCCACAAAGACTTTCTATGAGATTGGATACCCTGGGTGGTTTTCTGAGGCATGAGGCCAAAGGCCAAAAGAGCGAAGCCACCCAAAAAGTGTCATAATTACCCTTTGGGGCAATGGCTGCATGAAATGGAACTTATGAATGAAGACAAGGAAAACCCATTAAGTAATATTATTGACATGTGTCTGACATCGCCGGTAGCCAATCAGCACTTGCCACTTGTGCTCTGGATTTCTGAAATAATTTCTTAATGGAATAAGGGGTTTCCAATTCATAATGCCTTTCTACAGATGCTAGAGGATGCAGGTTTGCCAGCTATTCACGTTCCCAGCCTACATGCTGTTAATAAATTCAAAATTTGGTTGAAGCAGGGCAGTAGTTTTCTGTTATATCAGTATTGCAAATGAGTTTCAGCTTCATGCAATAACATAAAATTGCCATATATCAGCATTTCCTAAGCACCTGTCCCTGACAGTGCCAAGCCACTCTGAGAATTACAGGGGGAAGAAATGAGAGAGACCATTTTCCATATGAGACGTAGTGCTGCTGCGACAAATATACCTTTTGATTACATAGTGCAAACAGACTTCAGTGCCAATTTCAGACGCAAAATGAAGGAAAATAGGGTTCAGACGATGCTACAAGCCTGAAAAATGTGTCTGGACCACATAAGAAAGACATAAATGGAAGATTTGTGACTCCTGAGCTTTAGGGTCCAAACAGCTGCTGTACTTCCATGTTTAATAGCAAAGCTCTTTTACGGAGAAGTAGAATCAGAGTTGAAAAGGGATCAGCTGAGAAATGCAGCTGTAGAACCAAAGCTGGATGCCTCTTTACTGTAGTGTGATATTGTGGTCATGCAGAGTGGGGTAGTCCTGAAACCAAGTAATATCTCCCCTCCAAAAGCCCTTCTCCTCACCTGCGTCATGACATGGACACAGATCCTGCTGGGCTGCATATGGAGAAAACATTTTTCTAAAGGACAGTGTATAAACAAAGCACACTCCCACTGCCTGGGCTTAGGGAGGAAATGGACTTCTCTCTCTTTGTGTGCACAGCGAGATGTGAAGATGCTGATGGCTCTAAAGAGTTGATCCTTTCATTTGAATTTTTTTTTCAACACTGGGACTCTTCACCTTTAAAAGTATTTCTTTTCAGAGCTCAGAGCAAATCACTAATTTGCTCCATTTAAGGACATTGACTCTGCTTTTGAGAAGCAATAGAGTATTAGTAACTCCAAAACTCTGATATTAATCACAGCTAAAAATGACACCTCAGAATGTGTGTGACTGTTAATCTTTAGGAGGTGTTTTGGGTGTGCATCTGCTGGATGAGTTGTACTTTACAACTTGAGTTGGGATGGCCAGTGAATCACAGATGCTATTTCTGAGACTTTTACTTAGCTTTCCTTATACATATGTTGCACCCATCTTAGCACATATCCTGATGGCTTTACTGTGTCCTTTTGATCACGGAATCAGGCTGAATGATCTGATGATGTTAAGCACTAGGAGCAGCTCAAGCACAACCTTTCTGACTTGCCTACACAGTTGTGGTTGGTGAGATAGCTGCAGATTGAGTTACATGATATCTGGCATTCTTTGTGGGAGTTTCTGCTCCTCCCCGTGTGCCAAGTAAGACAAGCTGAGGTCTCCTTCGTGTAGTCAGTCATGCAAGGACCCAAGGAGGGACACAGCCCTTCAGAGCAAAGGGCATGTGGGTGTGAGACCCTCTCATTTGTTCCATAGGGATGCCCAAACAGACATGGACCCCAGATTTTCATGCCAAAACCCTTCTCTACCTTGCAGGGGCTACACGGTGAAGGGTGGCAGCTGCTCACCCATCAGTACCCCAAAGCCATCCTTCCACAGGGTTTCATGGAAGGGAAGGGGCCCTTGAGGGAGTAGGCTAGGGCTGCCTGGCAAGGTGAGGAAAGCCAGCCCTCAGACCACCTCATGGTGGGAGGTGGACTTGTTTATCAGGAGAGTTTGCCTGGTGCCACCCCTTTTCATTTTGGACTGAGTCAACCCCCCAGACACCAATGAATGTGCTCTTGTAAACAAACACCATGGGTTATTCAGTTTTTGTTGTTGTTGCTGCTGCTGCTGCTGTTCAATGTTTTTCTTCCTTTTCCAGATAAAACTGCCTTGCCTTCAGAAAACAGGACAACATAACCTTTGCAGACACTTGAGCAACTTTTGAATGTTCTCGGTTAGGATGGGAGCCTTTGCTTTCCTGGTGAAAGAGGCATGACCATGGGCAGTAAACAGCTCTGGGGCGGTGGAGAGGACACAGTGAAAGTGCATTAAAAATATAAAGACAGACTAAAAACTCTTCCTTTACCTCACCACCTTTGGGAAGAGGTGCAACAGGGCTGTCTAGTGGACTCCACAATGTCTTGTCTGTCTCTTTCATGTTTCCGCTCTATTTTCCTCTTTGTTAAGTGAATTTTTCCTAATCATTATTCTTCTCTTCTCATGCTTGTGGAGCCCTGGTTGTACTGATAGCTTCCCTTTGCCCATGGTTGAGCATTAGTGGTTAACAGCAGAGCGTGTCCCACCAGCTGGTGTATGGTTGGCCCTGGAACTAATGGATTTTGAGGGATGTTGTGTCCCCTTCTCTGTCACCAGAGTGGATAGGATGACTCTGGCAGCAACACTAATGCAAGTCTTTGGTTCCATTTTGTCTTTTCCTGCTCCCTCAGTTAGATCTGGTGGCCCAGGAAAAGTAAGCTGTGTCTTGCTCAGATGCCAGATGCTGTTCTGCATTGTGAAGAACTTAGCTCTTTTTCCCAAAATGCCTGTGCATGTCCTTTGTTTGCTTGGCCACAACATCAAATTGGAAGTGGTGAGGCCATGTCAAAAATCAGAGGGGATTTTGCCTTTTCACATCAAAGTTTGGGGGTTGAGGGTTATGAAACTGCAGATGACTAAACTGATCTCATGGGATATTGCCTTCCCTTGGGTGAACATGCTCCCAGGGGTCTGTTTCATTCATGCATTAAATTGAGTGATTTCACTGTCATTAACTGCAAAAATACAAATTTTTCTGTGCTTACTACCATAGCTCTGCCACACACTGGGAATTTTGGTAAAGAATAAATTACACTTCACTTTAGGGTTAGCCAGAAAAGCTTCTTTGCCATCAGCTTTCCTTTTCTTCTTTTTCCAGGTTTTCCCCTCAAACCCACTGAAGACCAAGAACCCCAGTTCACACAATGCTTTTGGCATCAGTGGACTCCTCCTTGCCACACATCGAACAACTCTGCAGCAGCATGGCAGCTCTGCATCCTGACACAATCAAGTGTGAAGGTGTAGGGACATCAAGAAAAGCAAGCTGCATGTTCCTTCCCCTTGGCTCGCCTCTCCTAGCACTGCGAGACACAGAAGTTGAAAGTCAAGCTTTTGAGTTACCAGCAATTTCCACTTTGGTGCATTATTGCCTTTGCTGCAGTGCTTTTATAAGCCTGTTTATAAGACAATAGACAATGGGAGAAGTTGCTGGGGTTCCCAGTGGACATATGTTGACAATAAACCCCTGTAACAGAGGTCAAATGTGTGTTCCCAGAATAACAGAGGGTAACTTGCTGCCTGAGGAGCGTCACACTGCAAACGAACCGATAGAGAAGAGAAGTCTGATTGTTTAAACCACTGAGTCAGCTTGGCCCAAGAAGACTAATTTTCCAGAAGATCTGATCTCTTTACTCACTGCAAGAACATGACAACATGTCTCTCCCACTGGCATTGCTTATGTGTATGCAAAGGTCCTTGTAGTCATAGATATAAAGCCGTTTGAAATGATTTGAAGTGTAAAGAGGCAGCACCACCCTGAACATCATGTTCTTGACCAGGTGCCCCCGCTGGTGGAAAGCCTCTCTCCAAGTGAGACATGAGAGTGAATCAGACAACAGTTTCATGTGCGTGGGGTGGCTCTGCACAATATTGGGGGAGTGAAGAAAATATAAAATGCTGAATCCTATTTTTAAGAAGTTGTAACTTGGCTTTACTTTTCCGTCGTATGAAGTCTCTTTGGGCGGGAAAGCATTTTTAACACATTGTTTGCAAAAAAAAAAAAAAGACTGACCTAGTGGAGACTTCATCTTTTGCTGGCCACTCCATCTCCTTGCAGCTGCTGGAAAGAATTCAGAGGTTCTTTTTTTCAGTGGCTGCAGATACACTGGTTGTGCTCTGATAGCCAGAGGATGGTAGGATGGCTGACTGAATTGGACAACCCATATTCATTTGTGCCAAAGATAGGCTGCTCAGATTGTGTTTCATGTTCTGGGAGCCTGTCACACCAAGCTCTCCCTGGTGTTACAGGAGCTGTGCTGTGTGCAAGGTGTTTTGAATAGCAATGTGAGCACATATGTGAGCACAGGGAGGACAGGATGGTTTGCACAGGCTCCAGAAGCATTTTGGCAAACAGAAACTCTCTACTTGAAAAAACATGGGTGTCAATATACAGAAAATACATCTATCTACAAAGTGATCCAAAACTGGCTGTGGGACAGTCCAAGTCTCCTCCATGTGCCATCTCCACAGCAGCAGGGAAGTTGCTAATGTGCAATGACAACAATTGTCCTATGTTTAATGCTTATTTTTACTCTTCTTGCCTCAATTTTTCCTGGCACATGAATGGCTGAAAGCAAAGGCACCGCACCCTGGTGTGGTGAGGGATATTACAGTAGGAACACATGCCAGGGTTACAATTAGACTCTAGGTCTCCCTTGATTTGCAGTGCAACAATTTTGTGACAAACTTTGTCTTGTGAATATCCGAAGCTCTGGGACAAGAAACAGGTGTTGGTTTCCTTTCATTCTGGAGCCCTTTAGTGAGCAGCAAGCAGTGGAGATTGGAAGCAGCTGCACTGTAAAGGTCATGTTGGTGGGCTAAATACATTTTATTTTTCAGAAGATTGTGTTGCTAAAGCCAGTCACTTAAAGACCCTGAGACATGTAAACTAGGACCACATGGCCAAACTAGCAGAGGACACAGCATCCTGGCCAATCCCTCCTGCTATGCTCCATTCAGCTTGCAGACTTGGCCTCCAGTTCAGATGGGCACAGACCAGGGTTTGAAGAGTGATGAGGTTAATGGTACGTAGCAGAAAAACTGGGGGGATAGTGTTGCCAACCAAACATGCGACTTCAATATTTCCCAACCAAAATATTGGTTCTTCTTGGTTATTGAATTTCAGCAGCCAAATTCACAGCTCACCCATCCAGCCCAGTACACTGACATCTTCACAGCAGCTGGCTCATTTTGAGCAAAGTTCCTTGGGGGTTTGTTTTTTTATTATTATTTTCAACTGTCTGGCCTAGAATATATAGGTGGTAAAATAATTATTGCATCCCTGGAAAGATGTATTTGTTTGTGGAAATCCTCTTCTACTTTCATGAATTCCACTGCTAGTGTTAAGTTTTGCCTAATAAAAGGGAAGTTAGAAGTGACAATCATGACCTGGACATTCCTTTGCTGGTATGGTAGTGCTCTGAAGGTCTTGCTGAAGGAACACTTTATTTAGGTCTTTTAAATTATCTGCATGTCTGTTTGATGGGAATATTCACTTTCTTGAAGATTTTTCTGTCCAGCCACATAACACACTTCTCCACTCTGTGCAATCCATGGGAAAGGAAAATTTCTGCGATGCTATGCAGTCTAGTTATAGAAGGTAGCTGATGAGTCTTCACATCTTCCTTAGTTTTTATGTCAAATCATTCACAAAAATGCCAGAATTCTAAGAGGAGTGGGTAAAGTACCTGTTAGAAGGTCAAACAAAGCAAGCAAATTAGCATAGAAGGTAAATACAATCTGAAGACCCAGCTAAAACACTGTCTTGAAAAGGGGTTACCCATCTTCATCTTGTCTGAGTTGGAAATAATATTGAGATGTCTCTTCTCTGTTCCCTAGTAAAAAGGTAGCAATGAAAATGTTTTGAAGGTATTTAGACATTAATAACCTAGGGAATAATAGAATTGTAGAAAGAATGGTTTGCATTGAAAGACACCTTGAATAGCATCAGTTCCAAACCCCCCTGCTGTGGACAGGGACTCTTTCCACTAGAGCAGGTTACTCAGAATCTGTCCAACCCAGCCTTAAGCATTTCTAGAGATGAGGCTGGAAGTGAAGCCCCATCAACTACTTCTTTACAACTTCTCTGTGCAGCCTGTTCCAGTGTCTCACCATCCTCCAAGTAAACAATCTTTTTTTAATATTTAATGTAAACCTGCTCTCTTTAAGTCTGAAGCCATTTTCCCTTGTCCTGTCTGCATTTGTCTCTAGGAAATCCCTTTCTATCTTTCTTGTAGGCTTCCTTCAAATACTGGAAGGCTGAAATTAGCTCAACCCAAAGCATTCTCCTTTTCAGGTTGAACAACGCAATATTTCTCAGCCTTTCCTCATAGGAGAGGTGCTCCATCCCTCTATTAAACTTGGTGGCCCTCCTTTGGACTTGTTCCAGTAAGTCCATGTCTTTCCTGTGCTGGGGACCCCAGAGCTGGATGCAGCACTCCAGGTGGGGTCTCACCAAAGTGGAGGGGAAGAATCACCTGCCTCAGCCTCCTGGCTATGATTCTCTTGTTGCATCCCAGAACACAATCCCTTCACCTGCGCCTTTAATGAAGATATTAAATAACACTTGTGCCCATACAGATTCCTGAGGGATGCTACTTGCCACTGTGTCCATGGGGACTCTGAGCCATTGGTGCAACCATACAATCATCTTCTAATACATCTAACAGTCCACTCATCAAATCCATTTAAATACAGCATCATGTCATTAGATGTTGTGGGGGACTGTGTCAAAGGCATTACAGAAGTCCAGGGAAATGACACCTGTATCCCTCCCCCTGTCCATTTCTGTAGTCACTCCATCATAGAAGGCCACTGTGTTTGAAAGGCAGGAGAAGCCTTGGAGAAGCCATGCTGGCTGTCTTGAATCACCTCCCCATTCCCCATGTGCCTTAGCATTTTCAGCAAGGAGTTTGGAACCTCTTTGCTACCATCTTGGAGGGGAGAGGTGGGCGAAGAAAAAAAATCAGTTAGGTCAGCACTGCGTCATCTACTTTAGCCACAAGCATTACACTCACAGGTCTCTCTTCTCACATCCAAACTGGACTCCAAAGATATTTTTGTTTCTGGGACACTGCTTTGGGCAGCAAGTGTCCTACCAAAGCCACTGATTCCACTGCCTTGTTGGCTGAGCTGTCCTGTAAATGAGAAAAACAAAATCTTCCTCTACCCCACTAATGCTTTACAAAGTTGCTCAGGAAAATTTGAAATGCAAGAGGCAGCAGCAGTCTCATGTTAACTCACAGACTCCAGATATTATACAACCTGGAGCTTTTCTCACTGTCCTCAATAATTCCTGCCTACACTCACACATCCAAACACATGTGCAAAATCCAGGGTGATTTAACCTTTATTTTATCAAAATGGAATGTTTGATTTGCAATCAGCTAGGAAAAAAGTAGTTGCTCGTGATGGTAGCAATTTCTTCAAACTCAGATCATGGAACTGATATTCAGCCTCTTACAGAAGAGGCAGAGGGGTCTGGTTTTAGCTGACACCTTGCTGAAAACCACCCCTGGTCAAGACTCAATTGTAAGGATGCCTCTCAGCAGTGACCAGTGACCTCACCTTCAGATGTCTATTTGAATTTTGCTTAAGAAAACACAAACCTTGGCTTGCTCAGCTTAGATGCCCCATTACTTTTAATGTAAATTAGCTGATTTGTACCCATCTATGGTATATTATCCCTGCAGCTGGTCATGAAATGGTGATCCCCCTCCAGATGATCAGACTATGCTGTTCCTCTTCTCTTCTATTTGTAGTGGAGAAAGTGAGGAAGACAATGGGTAAGTCTTTCTTGCACTTATCAAGTGAATATGAAGTACTGTTTCTTGAGGAGTTTTGCAGTTACTTTGAACTTCCCAAGTTCTGGCCTAAGCTGGTTCTGCACTGCCTGCCATGGGAGTAGATAAACCTTGGTTAAAGCAGACCCTCCTTCCAGGAAACTGTGCTGGCAGCAAGGTTTCCACAGATGGAAACTGGAACGCTTCGTGGTCCATGATCCGTGAGATATTTGGGTGAACTGGTTCTTACTGGTCCTTTTGCTGCTGTCTCAAAATCATCTAGTTGCCTTCTGAGTTACTCACCATTTGGCTGGAGGTATCAGCCCCTTTATTCTGTCCTCACCTGCATCTCACCGTTGCCTGTTGGGAGTTATTATCTCTTTTGATGTCTGAACTGCCTGGGCGGTTGCTTTCTGAGATATTTTCAGTTCCTTGCCAACCAATCTGAAGGGGCAGCATCCTGCAGCAGGAGAGTGGTTCAAGATAGTAAGTTGTCCAGCTGGCTCAGTTGCTTTTGGAAGATGTGTGATCATGCTGTAAATAGAATCATTTCCTGTGCTTTTCTTCCCAGACTTTATCTTGTTTATTCATGTGAAAGGTACCTGGGGAATAGCTGCGCCTGGCCTTGGTTTTAATTTGTCTGTATTTCAGCAGCGTCATGTCATTACATTGGTGCAACATCAGAGTTGGAGGAAATTCATGTGGGTGACCTATTCTTGATAGCCCTTTAAGTGTGGCCAGATGGAGTGTGACCCACTGGTGGCCACACATTGCACAGTGAGGAGCAAAAGTTACTGTGCGTGAATATATCGGAGCTCTCATCACAGCTTGCTTAATAGATGGTTTTGCTCCATGAAGCATAAGGCAGGGCAACCAGCTAAAAAGCTGTAGGGTGTTTCTTGGAGGTGTCTGGCATCCTGATCAAGTGAGGAGCTGCTCTCTGCCTCCTTTTTTCCAGAGATGTTTGGGGAGGCTTAGGTTAAGCAAGATGAGCTGCAAGCATGACTTTCTACGGCAGCATCTGCAGTGTGACTGCATATGCATGGGATTTCTGCTCTACTCTCTTGTTCCCCCTAGTCATTGTGGCTTTGGAAAATTGCATTTCACTGTGCCAGTTCTCCATGTGTCACCTGTAGCACCTGGAGCAAGAAGTAGCCTTGCATAGCCATATCTAAGGCACCCACTTTATTAGCATCTTTCCTGCAAGGATCTCAAAACACTTAATTACAGGGAAACTTTCTCAGGTTTTGCCAACCAGCTGCCTAGAGCCAAAGGACAAAGTGATCTTTACAGGAACACTTTCAAACCTAGCTTCCTGAATGCTTTTCCAGGACCTGCTAAGGAATTGTGCTTGCATCCATCAGTCTTATCTAGTTCTGGTTCTTGTGGCCACTAAGTATATTTTCAGTGTGCAACTGAGAACCTTCCACTTCAGGACTCAGGAGAACATTTAACTCATGACTGCTTCCATGTCACCATGTAGCACCACTAAATCAAGGCAATAGAGGAAGAAAATGTTCTGAGCCACTCAGATGGTAAGTGGGAAGCTTCACCAAATATTTATCAGGGGCAATCCAAAGAGCCAAAGGATGGCCACTACCAGCTTTGGGAGGCAACAGTGGGGTGGTGAAATACACAGAGCTGCTGAAGGGTGTGCCAGTATTGAGGCAGTCAGGAATGCCTTGACCTTCACCCAATATAATAGGCTCGGGGTTAGAAACACGCTGGTTTATCAAAATGGTCCTTGTGAGCATGAGGCACGAGATAGCCTTCCCATTTCATTACCACCTCATATAAAATGTTTTTAGAGAAAACCTTGGTTTCTTACAGCCATTTAATAAAGCTGTAGAAAGGAAGGTAGAGTCCTGCAGCATGCTGGGGAGATGGGATTAGCTGATATTCAATCACTCCAGCAATGCACTTGGCTCAACACCCCTCACAGCCTTACATGATTTCCAAGGCCTGAAGATCTCCTGCAGCTGGACCTATCATAGTGGTTTGTCCCAGGTGATCATAGCAAAACACAACTTCACTTTCTAGGATTAAACTCCACGATTTCCTTGCTCTTAAGCAAGCTGCAGCTCTCTGGGGTCAGCAGCAATTCGGCCAGATCCTGCTTTCAATTGCATACAGATGTAAAATGCAGGGTAATGTGGTGCTCTGCTATTCCCCCTGGGCTGAGCTGCTCTGCTGGATGCTGTACCTTTCCCCACCAACTGGGAGGCCAGACAGATTCCCCTCAAAACAGCACAGTGACCCACTCCCCAGTGTTGCACTGGGACATTGTGCGCCTCCATGCTGTCTGGCTCTTCCACGGCTGGGAAAGGCTTTGGATGGAATTCATTCATTGCAATCAAAACCCAACAAGTACTGGAAGAAAGTTCAAATGTATGTGAAATAGCTTGTCCAAAAAGCTGGCAAAGGAAGCTTATTTTTCCTGTCTTACAAGAAGTTATGCAATCAAGTGATTAATTACCCGTGGCACAGTCTGAGGGGTGAAAGATTAATATTCCTGGAGACTGCTGCTGTTGACCTTGTGTTATACCCAGCATGGGAATAGCCTGAGCTTCCCAGCAGAATAAACCTTGCCCAATGGTGAGATTGTCTTCTCACTATAGTTGAGTGAAGAGGTTAAAGTTTTATTTTTCTTCTAAATTCTGTCCATCCAGCAGGAAATAGTACCATCAAAAGTCTCCCGCCCATCTCCTGGAGAAAAAATAAAGCTCAAGTCTTTTATAATTCCAGGGCTGTGCCTCAGCCAGCTGCAGCAGTGGAGTGGGAGCCCAGCCTCGGCCATGGGCACAGTTGGGAAATGTTGTAGCAGCATTGTATGTGTTAACCAGTTTCCAGACAACGCTGGGAACCATTGCAGTTAGTCCTGGGGGGAAGAACCTCAAATTCAGTCACAATTGTAAACACTGGTTCTTGCCTGCACAGAATGCTCATTAATGCGCATTGTAATATTATTTCTTTCCTGGGGGAAGAAATCCTGGGATGTGACAGAAGTTAAATCTGTGTGCGGTTGCAGCACTCATTCATTCATGCTGCTCATCATGTGCAGCCCAAGGGTGCCACGTTTCTGTGGCGTAGGAGGATGTGCCTTCTCCAGCACATTGCTCATTCCACCTTTCTTCCTCTACGCAAACCCATGTGCAGCAGTCACTTTCTGCTGGAAATCCTGCTCTGGCTTGCTGTCAGCAATCTTAGCTTACACCAAAATTTATCTGGTTCTTTTCCTAAAAGGTTACTTCTCAGTAGCTTTTAGCTTTGCCAAACTAAGTGTTCACTTCAAGATGAAGTTATTTAGCCGGGGAAGGGTGCAGTAATCGTCAGTCATTTTACTCACTTTATGTGCAAGGAACAAAGTGTACCTTTCCCTATATATGAAACCCTTTCCACTTTGTTATTAAGTGTTTTCAACACCATTCTTTGGAGTATATCTTATCATATCCTGCCTCTCATGACTGAATTTGTAGTGTTAAATACTCTTCTAAGAAAACAAATGAAAAGAGGGAGTAGAAGAAAGAGCTTGTACAATTTTTCTTTCTCAAGTAGTGGTTTCCATCAAAGCAATTTGGCATGTGAAAGTTCCTAGTGAAGGAGAGAACCAAACATAAGAAAGGAAATGAGAAAAAAACAGGGCGGGGGGCAAGGGGTTACTTCATGCGCATTAAATAAAACCTCCCATAATCTTTGGTCTGTCAAAAGATCTATAGTGCTGGTGCCAAATAATTCCTCCCAGAAGGAAGGCTGGACAGAGAGGCAGAAGACTGGAAGCAGAGAGGCTTCCGGGGCCAGTGGGCACCTCTCAGCTAAAACAAATGGAAGGGATGAGGCCAAAACAGTGAGATGGTGAATGGGGGCTGGGTGGAGAGCATAGAAACAGACAGTGTTAACAGCCTCCAAAAATGCTGTAACAGGCTCGACTTGGTGCAAAGTGGAGCTCACAGCTCCTCATGTAGTCATGGATGGCACTGGTGGTCTGACTTGTGTCCCACTGTCAGTCTAGAAGAGCTTGTGCCCATGGCTTCTCATCCTGCCACTGGGCATCACTGGAAAGAATCTGTCTCCATCTTTCCTCCCCCATCAGTTATTTATACACAGTGATAAGCTCCTGAGCTTTCTCTTCTCTGGGCTCAGCAGTCACAGCTCTCCCAGTTCCCTCCCCACATGATGTTGCAATCCCTTAATCATCTTTATGTCTCTTTGCTGGGCTTGTTCCAGCACATCCATGTTTTATACTGGGACACCCAGAACTGGACACAGCCCTCCAGGGTTGGATCACCTCCCTGGACCTGCTGGCAATGCTCTTCATAATGAAGCCCAGGATGTTTTTGACATCTTTACCATGAGGCCATGTTTCTGGTTGAGGGTCAGCTTGTTGTATACCAGGACACTAAGGTCTTTTTCTGCAGAGCTGTTTTCCAGCTGGCTGATCATCTCCCAATCCATAGTTCTGTCTGAGGTTATCCTTCTCCATCTTCAGGACATCACATTCCCCTTTAAACACTGAGAGATTCCTGTTGACCCATACCTCCAGCCTCCTGAAGTCCCTCTGGATGGCACCACAGCCATGTGCTCTGTTTGCCAGCTTCCCAAGGTTGTCCTCAGACCCATCACCCAGGTCATTAATGAGGAAGTTAAACAGTGCTGGCCTCACTATCAGCTCCTGGGATGAACCACTAGCCTGGCCTACAGATGGGCTACATGCCACTGACCACAGCTCTCTGATCCCAGCACTTCAGCCAGATTTCAGTATCCATCTATGTCATCCATATTCCATGAGTTTGTCTGTAAGGATGTTATAGGAGACAGTGTTGAAAACCTTGTTAAAATTGGCATAAATAACATTCACTGCACACCAAGCCACCCATCTCATTGTGGAAGGCTATCATGATGGCCAGGAATGATTTCAGCATATCAAATTCACCAGAGCATGAGGCTTTGAGAAACTGGAGAAAGGGAACCACACCTCATCTCCCTCCGGCTTTGGTTTTCATAATAGTTGGAGGGAAATTGGTGTTTTAGCTTTTGTTGTAACTAAGAATGTCTGTCCCCCTTCTGGGGAGTTTTGTAGGAAAAGCAGAATTTACTGTAAAAGCTTAGTTATGTGTGCTAGAATTTTAGTCTCTGCTTTGGCATGGATTTAGAAAAATAATAATCATTTAAAAATAAACCTAGCTATTGTATTTAACCTTGGCCCATGCAGCCAGTAATATTTTGTAAGACGTTTCAGCTATCCAAAGATTCTTTTCACCGAAGCTTCCCTTCAGGAAACAAAATAAATTAATGATACAAACAGGAAGCAGCTGTCTTTTCCTAAATAATAATTAAAATGGGGTCCCCTTAGCTGTGAGAGGAATAAATGGGAGGGGAAAGACCTGAAGTATTGTTGGTTTAATTTTGACCAGCCTTCAGAGGACAGGCTTAGAATAATGACACAACCTGTGAGGCTGGGAGGACTTATTTTCTTATGAGCCATTTTTGGATT